CAACTAGTCAGAGTTTTATTATTTCCTGGGTCAACTGTGACATTCAGTGTAGCCATTAGGGAGAGATGTGGGCTCATTAGAGGAGCCTTCAGAAGGCTTGCAAATTATGTAAATGATGACAAAAGGAAAGCTAAAGAACAGTGCCTTGAAAAGTTGCAATCCCTTGAATGCTTTAAATAGCTATGCTTAATGGCAAACATCTTTCTTAATGAAGAGCCTCCTCTTCACTCTTCCTTGAAGCCTGGTTTATTTTATTGGTAACAATACGATCACTTCAAATATGCTCTGACCTTAATCAGAAGATGCTATCAATCTTTGCTTAATTAAAACACTATACACCAGGAAACTAACTTACCTAGGAAAAGATCAAAATATCAAGGATTTTAAAATGTCAGTGATCGAATGAATGCTAGTCAACCTAGAAAGGTTACCTGCCCACCTCTCAGATGACTCATAACTTTCTCAGCGACATTCGCAGAAGAATCCCGGGTGTGCCTACATTTGCAAGTTTTATCTTTTCAAAAATGTTTTCTGTAATGTTTTAGCCACGCAGCTAAATTCTTAGGGAGTCACTCATTCTTTAATGTTGCTTCTATAGACTGAATACCTGTGTATCTTATTTAATGTGAGATATTATAAGTAAATGGATTTTAGGGATATTTCTGTGATATAATAAAATGACACTGGACTTGGACTTGGAACAGAACTCTTGATTGAAACCTGGGTCACCTACTAGATTCTTTATTTGGTGTAAGTGGCTTAACCTTGCTTTTATCAACCTTTAAATACAAGGGGTGTGTGTGTGTGTGTGTGTGTGTGTGTGTGTGTGTGTGGTTTTCAGTTGCTTACTTCTTTTTTATTTGTTCTAATTAATTATACACGACAATAGAATACATTTTGACACATTGTACACATACGGAGCACAACTTCTCCTTCCTCTGACTGAACATGGTGCAGAGTCACACTTATAGTGTAATCATACATGTTTATAGGGTAATAATGTCCATCTCATTCCATTGTCATTCCTACTCCCAACACCCCCTCCCCTCCCCTAACTCTCTTCTGCCCAATCCAAAGTTCCTGCATTCTTTCCTATCCCTGCCTCAATTATGGATCAGCATCCACTCATCAGAGAAAACATTTGGCCTTTGGTTTGGAGGGAATTGTCTTATTTGGGCCTGATATTCTCCAGCTTCATCCATTTACCTGCAAATACCATAATTTCATTCTTCTTTAAGGCTGAGTAATATTCCACTAAAACACAAAATCATAATCCCTACCATCCTATGACTGGCTGAGGGCACAAATTCATTCCTTTCAATGAATATTGATTCAACATTTTCTATGTGTCAAGCACTGGCCTAGACATAGAAGCTACAGAAGTGAACTGAACAAAGTCCCTGACCTCTAGTGGTGGAGGCAAAGCAATAAACACACTTAGCAACTCTATTAGGCAATGTCATACAGTAACTGACGCTACGCCTTCCAGGATATCGAGAACAGCTAACGAGAACTAAGGTGAGACGGTGTTCAGAGAAGGATTTGGTTTTGACCCTTTCTCCTGTGTGTGTGTGTGTGTGTGTGTGTGTGTGTATGTCTGTGTGTCTGTGTGTATGCATGTGTACGAACGTTCATGCAATGGGAGGTTTACTGGGTGTTCTACTCAGGGGTACTCTAGGACTGAGTCCCGTCTCTTTTAATTTTATTTATGCATTTGTTGAGATGAGATCTCACAAAATTGCTGAGTGGCCTCAAAGTTGTGATCTTCCTGCCTAGGCTTCCCAAGTCACAAGGATTAGAGGAGTGCACACCACCCCACCCAGCTCCCAGCTCCTATTTCTTCCCGAGTTCCCCATATTTGATATTTGTCCTTTAAGCAAGTATGAACTCATGAAGTACATAGTATTGATGGTGCGGTTTTTGCTTTGCATCAAAGATATCACATTACAAAT